GGGGCAGGCAGGAGGCACGGGGCAGGCAGGAGGCAAGCTGCCTGCTCATTCTGAGCAGGGGGAGGCAGGCCATGAGGAGGCAGGAGGAATGGATAGAGGGAGTGAGAGAAATCTCTGTTGGCCTCAAGCACAGACTGACCCCTTGGAGTTGTGCCATGGGCTCCTCCACAGTCCTCCACACCTTTCCCACCTGGCCAGGAGCTACAGTGAGATCCGGCTATACCCCAGACCCTGTATGCTCTCAGTGCATGGCTGAGGTTCCTCGCTGGGCTCCTCCATCCCCTGCCTTTGCCAGCTCAGAGCCAGGGCAGACACCGCTCTGCATGGGAGATGCCCCCATGCCAGCTCCAGAAGATGCTCAGCCTTTCCTACAGAGCCCCAGTGARGCAGATCCCCAGGCACTGGCACAGCCTGGTACCAGGGGCCAAACCACCACCACATGTGCAGGAAGCTTTGCTCCAAAGGCACTTCCCATGCCTGGGGCTCAGCTGGAGGTCTGGCCACAGCCCCCTACCCCACAGCATACATCCCTGCAGGGATCCCCTGGAACCCTCCAGCCGCCTTCCCTTCGCTCCGGCAATTAGAGCTCCAGCCAGCCCCCTCCGAGCCTGTGCAAACACCGAGGCTCATTTRAATAAATTAAGAAGACATAATAAATCAAAGGGAAATGAGGGGCTGTGCCTGGGGGCAGGGGAGTCACTCGAGTTTAATTACATTGGCAAGCCTCTCGCAGCAAAAGCACGGCGAGTCCCAGATGTGTCGAGCACAGATGTGCACAGGAATGCACAGAGCTTGGTGGCAGCGCTGGCGGCACCACCCTGATGCCTGTGCCCATGACAGCACTGGCACAGCACCGGCTCCAGTGGGTCAGGAAATGAGGCACGTGCTGGCACAGGGTTCTGGGTACTCGCCACTCCAGCGTGCCCGTATGGCAGGTGGCATCCCAGCATTGGCAGCACCTGGTGCAACATGGAAGCTGGTGGGGCGGCCCGCAAAGCCCTGTCTGCCCCATTCACAGCCTCGTGACCTTTGCTATCACTGTGGCCACCCAGAGCCACCCTTTGCTGTCCCCGTGGCCACCCAGAGTCACCAAGTCAGGCTGAGACGTGGAGCAGCGCTGGCACCACAACATCCCTCTGCCACATACGGGATTTACAGCCCRTCCCCTGTTGTTTAAGGACTCTCGTTCACGACTGCATCGGGGACTCCAAATAGAGCTTTGTGTAGAGGCGGCAAATTTATGAGACTGGCTCTGAATCCCCAGTCACATCAGGGGCCAATTCGTCTTCCCAGGGCTGAGGATGAAATTAAATTATTGCAAAATAAATCTGTAAAAATGATGAAAAGACCATCACCCGTCGGCAAGGGCGGGGTGCCGAGAACACACGCGTGGCCGTGACGGATGGGGCTCACCAGGTGATAAAGCGCCCGGGACCCGGGAGCTCTGGGATTTCTGCTGTAATCTCACTAAAGAGATGTTGTTTACAGGAAAAAGGATATTTTGGGGAGGAAATTGCATTTCAAGGTTAAAGGAAAAAAATGGAGCAAGTCTCCCAGGGAGCCACTTACGTGCGAGATGGTGGCAGACAAGAGACAGGCGCGGGTGCCAGGGAGCAGCCGGGGTGGCACGCGGTGGGAGGCAGTGCCACGCACACGCATGTGCCAAGGGCCAGGTCCCCTGCCTGGCCTCACCGTCAGCCCAGATGGCCCAGAATCAGGCTGTGATGGCCCAGAATCAGGCAGTGATGGCCCAGGCTCACAACAGAAGAGCCCAGTGGGGCTGGTGGGTCCAGGACAACCCGAGGGAGCCAAGAATCCCTGTGGGTGCTGCCAGCCCACCCTGACGAGAAGCTGCTGCCACACCACTCCCCAGCCCTGGTGCCATCCTGTTCTGCCACAGAGGTGCCTCCTCCAGCTCAATAATGGCAAACCCTTGCTCCTTCCTGTGAGAGACCCGACAGGGGCCTGAGAGGCCCCCATCCAATGCTCCAGGGCAGGGGGCACATGCCCTGCACAGTGGCTTGCAGCTTCCAGGTTTCAGTCTTATCCTACAAGACAAATGCTGTAGATAGGCTTTTTCCCAGTGATGAGTGGAAAAAATAATGACTTCAGCTTACAGTGCACTGGCTGGCCATTTAACAATAGGCCATTAGCATGGCTCAGCATGGGGAAAGGATTTATTTAGGGGACATAGTTGCAAAGACAAACCAGCACCAGGTGCTTAATAGCGTTTCAGAGGTATCGGAGTGTTGCAGCGCTCAGAAAATGCAGCTGTGGGAGTTCAGAGACTTTATCCTTCATGTCTGTGAAATCCCACAATACCAGCAGAGATTTCTCAACTCTGCCCCAAGTACAAAAGCAGCTCAGCAAAAGCAATGGCTCTGCAAGGACAGCAGCTCCTAGCTCAGCCACCCTGGCTGCCCCAGCACTGCCAAGATTGGCTTCCGCTGGCACAGGCCATACCTGTGTCCTCACACTCACCTAAGGCCACTTGCAGGGCCTGTTCAACCTCTGGACTCCCCTCTGTCTCTGGCAGATGCATCCTGAGTATGACCCCTGAGGGACATAGGTTGGGCTATGGCACGAGCCTCCCTTGCTCATGCCCAATGCTTGTGCCATTGCCCAGAGCAGCTCTGGGGCATCAGCAGGCTCTGCCTGAGYYCTCCCTGTGCCTTKGTGGCCTGGCCAGGCATRGTCACCCATCAGGAGCCTCCTCACTCCTGCAAACACCATGGCACCAACCTGGCTCCAGCCATCACCACCAGGGCAGCACAATGATCACCARCGTGCCCCTGCCCATGGATGGGCACAGAGTTCTTGACAGCAGATATGGGTGCCAGGCAAACCCCTTCATGCCTGTGAGTGCTGCCACAAGAGCACTCACTGCAAAGSCCCCCAGTGCATCCCAGTACATCCCAGTGTATCTCAGTGATCCCATGGCTGAGAGCCCTTGCACTGATGCAGTGGCACCAGAGAAAGGGTGTTTGCTGGACCCAGAGCCTGTGTCCAGCCCTGCAGCCCCGGCAGCACRTGGGGCCCTGCTGTGTGCTGAGCATGGCGAGGGGTCCCGCGGCAGCAGGARGGGCCGGGGGCAGGAGCTGGCGGCCGTCCCACGCAGGCGGCACGGCAGCAGTGTGCCGAGGTGGAAGTAAAGAGTTACTGAGCAAGCAGACGTTCAATAATTCATGGTCACTGAACTGCAACAGGAACRACGACAAATAATAATACAGGAAAATGGGGAAAAACCTGAAATCGTTAGGCCAATGGTTCAAGCATAAAGAGTGCGTGCCGAGGGAGAGGGGTGCAGTCACGCCATGCCAGGGTGCAGGGGTCGGTGCCAGCTGCACCGTGGCATTCTGCCCCCAGCCCGGCACCCCCGGCCCGAGGGCTCCAATGGTGCTGTCACCTCGTGGGGACTGTTTGGGGGATGTACCCAGCCCAAGGGAGGCTGAGCAGTGCCATGTGCCAGCCCTCAGTGCCCTCCRAGCTTGGTTGGCATGCAGGGAGCTTGTTCACGTGTCCAAGAGGCAGGGAAGGCAGATCTGCTCTCCCTAATTATAATTAGTGATGCTTGCCATGGGAGTTTGCAAACATGGTTTAATTAGAGCAGCCGGGCTCCCTCCACACGCTGCACCCTCCCCGGGGTCAAGGACAGAGCGGAATGAGGGAAGCAGAGGGGATGCTTGGCAGAGTTTGGCTGCTGGGCCTACACAAGATTCACCCCTTCTCTTTGCCCACAGCCATGGCCCAGGAGGCTGTCAGGGCTTGGCTTAGTTTAGCTCAGCTTGTTTTCTGCTGGCAGGGATTGCTCTGTGTCCCTGCACGCACCCTGTCCCCAGGCTCTGGCACCACCAGGACTGCCTGCTGCTCCTGGGGACGGGAGGACACCTGTGCACAGTGACTCAGCCAGAGGCCAGCAGACACCGAGCTGGGAAATTTAATCTACAGCTACAAGAAAGGGCTGTGGAGTCTCTGGATGCATGAGCCTGCTGCTTCTGTCAAGAAGAAAAATAGGAAAGGGGCGTAGGGAATTAGACAAAGGCCACGACGCAGAGAGGGAGGGTTGGGTGAATTCAGGGAGAGCAGGCAGTGGCTGCTGCAGCCCAGAATGGGCTGATGGCCAAATGTCCCTGGTGCCCAAAGCCCTGCAGAACTGGGACCAGGATGGTGAGAGACACCAGTGAGTGCCAGGAAGGGATGGAGTGGGAGAACAATCCCCTGGCAGTCTGAACCTCTGGGTGCAGCCAAGACAAACCCTGCCTGGGCTGTCCCATGACCAACCAGGTTATCTGGAGGGATGAATTTTGGATGAATTTGGAATGAATGAGAGCATCCTGTGCTCAAAGACAGTCAGCCGTGCAGCAGCAGGCAGTGTGTCCATACAGGCTGAGCCATGGTGAGGACACACCTGGAGTTGCAGCGTGGCAAGCAGTGACCTGCTCAGAGCTCCTGCACATCCCAGGCACTGGTGAACCTGGATGAGTAATTGCCATTGTCACCACACCTAATTAGGGGGCTGGCCACAGCCAGCTGGAAACTGTAGGTGTTAATTCTTTCTGGCGGGGGTGGTGCCCCGTCCAGAGGGGCTCCTGCCCCCCAGCCTGTTCAGAGCAGCTCCTATCGGCCCTGGCACCGYGTCCCCGTCCTCACCTTGCCCTGCAAGCGCCTAAGTATCCATCGGCGGGCACACCGCGCCTGGACACCGGCCGGACAGCCCCTCCCCGGAGCCGCACGGAGCGGACACACGGCCGGGGCTCTTTGGAAGGAGCGATTACCCAGGTCCCGTCGCTCCGGGGACGGGTGCGATG